TTGCAGACAGAGTTACAGACTCTCTCCCAGACCACAGACTCTTAATACAGTCAGAGCTTTATAAAGAAATAAAAAAGTTGTTGTTGTTTTTCAAAATTGGAGTTCGAGTTATTTTTACTTCCAATAGTGTTAACATACTACACAGGTCATGAACAAGATTATTTTTAATTTTCATTGTAAGTGGGCTAAAGCAGTTAATTAAAAGTAGTCTAACATAAATGCTGTAATTATTATTATTATTTTAATAAACATGTAACTTTGATGGATTGGATGCTGGCGTGACCACAGTGCACACGTCTGCTGTCGCTCACAGTGGTCCAAGTGTCCGCTCAGGGAGTTTGTGTGTTCGCTCAGACACATGAAACATTAGAGGGAACATTGCCTACAGTGTAAATTGTATGTTGACCCTGGATAATAAATAGATATCGCTCTATGCTGGTGGGAATCGTGACTTACAGGACTTGTGTTTCAAGCAGCTAGCTTGTAATGTGATTACACTGCAGAAACTGCACAGCTATTACTTTTTGATTTTGAAACTTCACATAAGTGATTAGTCAGATCAATGCACCCCACCCCTCCATTCCAACCACACCAGCAGAGACGTGCTGCTGTGTTTGAGCAACCCTATTTGGTGTGAAATGTAGACAAAACACACATATTAAAATATATGAGATATTGAGAATGTTTACATTTGGCTTGACGATACACAGATGAAAAAAGCCTGGACTGGAGATTGTACATTTGTGCTGTCGTTTTAACATACTAACCATAAAAACTTATATGTAGACATTCCCACAAAGGCCACACTTTTTGAATGTAAGTAACTAAATTGAATGCACTTCTTCTCGTTCCTAGACACGACTCTGATATGATTAACATAGTTGCTAGATAATCCAGAGTGCATTCACACAGACACACTACACATTATGCATTCTCATTGCCTCATGCCCTCTCATTAATCTCTTTACACGCTGGAGGCCACTGTGAAGGTTGCTCTGTTTCCCCACCTGCTGTCAGCTGTCACATGGCTGTCAGCAACTCCTCACTAATAAACACAGATACCCTCTCTTCATGCATACGCATCATTTTTTTCTCAGTCTAGTTGTCTTTGTTCCCACATTGCAGACATAAGGCCTTTTTGTCCCTTTTTTCCAGTCCTGCCACACACATAAACAAATACAAGGGAGCAAGGGGTGAATGACTAATTTCAGTATTAACCTCTATAAGTCCCAACCAGTCCAAATTATATATGAAACCAATATGAAGCCATAGTGCCACTGCATTACGTGTCATGGTTTAGGAATTAACCGATGAGCTACATAAAAAACACAAAGAAAAACAAAGAGGCAAATGTTCAAGTCACAATATCTTCTCTTGGGGTTAGGGAAGAGTGTTGTGTGCAACCTTAAGAGTAGTTTGGACTTTCTAAATTCTCCAGATAGAGAGAAAGTCACAAGATGGAACTATTTGTTTCTTTACAATCAATCCCTGTATTCCTAGTGTTCCTAGTGTTGTGCAAAGTCATATAAAAATAATTATATGGCATAGTTGTAACATTTAAACTATTTATCCCGAGTCGGACAAACTCCACCATTCACCATGTAGCACGTCACTGTCACAGTCAGCAGCTCATCTGCTGCATCCTTTTACAGGAGGACATTTGTCTCACTCGTGTTTTAAGCGCACACTAGATTTATCGATAGAAATGGCAGCTACTTGTCTTTCACATGTTACCTCGTTTCAGTAAGAGTTTCAAATTTGCACAGAATGAATATGGCTCTTTATAATGTGAAAAACAGTGTCTTATACTTCAAACTACAAACTGTTGTTGACATGGTTACATTTTTTAATTGCATCTTTATTTCTGGAAGTGAAAACCAAGACAAAGTGCACCATCCTTGGAGATAATAATGGTGTATTAAATTCCAAAACTGTAAATGATCATCCAGTGCTACATTGTGCGCAAATATATAGCATAATGTATAATTTAGAATGATATAAATCTATAAAAGAAACATCGTTGGTATTTGAATAGAATCCGAACTGCATCCCGAGGCGACAGAGCAACTTCTTATCTGCTGTTGATTCGTGGAATTCATTTTAAAGAGTCAAAGATGGTTTGGTGTAATGCCAAAATAATGACCTCAGTCTTCATGTGAGAAATGATTCAAACTCAACAGACAGATCTCTGGATAAGCCACCGTGTCCAGCATAAAATGGATAATGTAATGAAGCTCCCCAAACTGACCAAAGATGGTAAAGTATGCCTGGCTCTCCACGTTTTCATGCACTAACCCCACACAAAGAGCAGCCACCGACATTTTTCGCATACTGAAAGTTCGTTATAGTTACCATCGTAATGTAAAAGCAAGAAGCGATTTCAAAGCCAATTAATCCCTACAAGTCAGCGCAAGTAAATGCTAAGAAACGAGCCATGGGTATTAGCGCTACACACTTCTACAACCCCCCCCCTCACACACACACACACACACACACACACTCTTATGTATGGGATCAGCTGTCTTCGTATGCGAACTTTTGGAAAACGGATCAACTGAAATTTAAACTAGCTGGATATCACATCAAATACTACTAACTAATACTAACTTTAATATAAATTTGGCTAATAAGCTAGGACAAATAGGACTTACATGGTGGAGATTGAGACCATAGCTTTCCTTCCCTTTCGGGGCGTCCATAGCACAAAGTTCCGAGCATAGAGCTCCCCAATCCGGGCCCCCGGTTGACGAAGGGTCCTTGATCCCAAGAGCGCACAGCACCCTGCTTTCCTGTCTCTGTTTGAGAAGCTCTAGCTCACATAACCCGGCCAGGCTGGCTTGCAATCGCTCTTTATTCCGACTGCGCCCCGTTTTCATGTATTGCGAGAACGTTTCAAAAGAGTCTCGAAGGTCTTGGAAAGACATCACAGAAAACCGTTTTCCTAAAAAATCAAGCTGAATGAATTCCCTAAAAGTCTGTCCGTCTCTTCAGATTCTTCGAATACCTGTTGTGGACCGGTATCCGTTGTGTGTTTGTCCCGATGAACTCACTGCTTTAGCACTCGGTCCCATTCCCCTCCTCTAGCCTGCGCTCTGCCGGACAGTCTCACTTGGACAGCTGTTGGCGGAGCCTACAGGAATGCTGCTGGGAATCCTGCACAACCACAACTTAGTCTCATACTGCCCAGTGAATGCCTCATTCCAAATAAAAACGACACTCCAAGATAAAGAAAAGACATAAACACGATATATTACTGCGATGTATTCCTGTGAGTATTCCAGTGTATTTTAGGACGATGATGAGGTTGTGTACGCCGCACTAGTTTTGCACACCCAAAACATCTGGAGGCAGGCCTTTGGTATAAACTGTAAGCACTTTGTCTAGCTTAGTGAAGAGCCATCAGCTCAAATTCGCAGGACTTTGGACTGTGGGAAAAGGGCGAATATTTAGAGCAAATACACGCAGGCAGACGGAGAACACGCAAATGCCCCACAGATATCCACAGCAGACATAGAGCCATAAGGTTTCTTGCTGTGACAGCGCTAGCTGCAGCGCCACACTGCGGTGTGACTTTGGATCGCCTTCTTAGTAATATTACTGTTTACTGTTAATACAGCTCGTATTCTGTCTGGCACGTATTATAGATTCATGCATACACAAATAATCAAACGAGTTTGTTCTTGTGCGTGTATTTCTGTGTCTCAATATGTGGTCCAAAAGGCTGGGATATAAAATGCTGTGTAGTCCCAAATAAAGCAGGGCAGCGTTTCACCTTTGTAATATCTCAGGAAAAGATGTGGTTACCGTGGCTCCAGGGCAATAACAGTGACAGACTGAAATTGAATAATACAACATATTACAACGTTGACAAAATATAAGAAAAAGCTCTAAATGTATACGACTAGCTCAATTATAAATATTCAGAATATTACAGGTGAAATATATAAGTAACTCTTGTAACTCTCAAGCGTATATTTATGTATTTTTGTCTCATTTTTATATCTATTTATTAGCTTGCTTTGCACTGATGTAAGCAGAGCCTTGTCGTCTCATCTCTCTGTATGCTGCACTGGATATAGCAGAGATGACAATAAAGTTTACTTTGTCTTGACTTGATATGATTGCCATTTCACTCTAACCTGTCAAACTTTATTCACTGTTATTTTCACTGTATTTTAATTGATGGCAGAAAGCCATGGCTTAATTCCTTTTATTTAATAATTGCTTTTAACATGTATGAAGAAGCATATCAAAATGAGGCTCTCACTCTGAGACAGGCAATGGTTACTTTGAAACCTCATCATGTAGACCAATAAGTCAGACGGGTTTGGACACTGAAATACTTTGTAAAGTTTTAGCAAGAAGATTAGTATCGCACATTTATTTCATAATGATTAAAATGGTTTTGTACCAGAACGTCAAGGGTTTCACAACATAAGAAGGGTCCATGAGAAATTTGATGCTAAGGATACAGCTTTATTATCACTCGATGCTCGTCAGGTCTTTGACGGAATAGAATGGTCATATTTATCTAATGTTCTCCCAAGAATGGATGGATGTGGAAATAATTTTCTCAGATGGGTTAAACTTTTTATACAAATCCCAAAGCCAGTGTTTTAACAAGCACCGTTTCAGTCACTTCCTCTGCCTCTTTTCTGATAAGTTCAACAGTATCTTTAATAGATTCATTTGGAATAACCACAAACCTAGACTAAGATTTTGCTTGTTGTACCTGCCATATGAATGAGGGGGGTTTCAACTCCCTAATCTTAAACTGTATTACTGGTCTGTACAGCAGCATCAGTAATGTTCCGTTTTTCCACTGAGACACCACCAGTCTGCATAAAACTGAACAAACATCAGTAACAAACCTTCAATTGAACCTGTATTTATACTCTGCAAGCCCAAAAAATGAAAAACAATCATTTTTACAAAAGCACAGATGATATTTGTTATAGGGCATGTGAGTATGTGGGAGATAAGTCTTCTGTCTCTCGCTTTTTACCTATTTGGGGCAACACATGTTTTAAGGCAGGAAGAGCCTATCAGAGTTTCAAAATTCAATTTAATTCAATTCATTTCAATTCAATGTTATATATAGCGCCAAATCACAACAACAGTCGCCTCAAGGCGCTTTATATTATAAGGTAGACCCTACAAAAATAAAAAAACATCATATGACCCCCTATGAGCAAGCACTTTGGAGACAGTTGGAAGGAATCTTTTCATCTCTTGATGTCCCCATGTCACAGAAATAGGCTCTGTGTTTTGCCTTATATGCATCCACAGGTGTGCCACCAATTCACTCACATGGACTCTACGAACCAATCAGAAGCTTCTTCAGCTCAGAATGGAATCATCTGGAGTTTTCTTATTAATTAACAATAAACTTAGTGTATATGTGCTCCTAAATTTGATGAAAGTGATTAAAATAGACAGCTCCCTCTTTTTATTCTGACATTTAACTAATTCAAAAGATATTTCAATATTTATTTATCTGAAACAAAAAAGTTTAGTCTAAATTGATGTTTAACAGTAAAATAAAAATGTTTTTGTTTTTTTTCCCCAACAGTGTATATAAATATCTGGTTTCAACTGTGAATATACTGCTGTGTATTGAAATTCCTCTTGTTTTGCATAGAAATATATTGAACAACATAGAAAGCATAATATACAAAATAACATTTACCTGAGTTTTTTCTTTGAAAGAAGCCCCTTATGTCCATTGTTGTATATCAGTGCATTACTGAAACCGATTGAAGGTGCTTTATTTAGCCGTGGAGGGTAACAACTGAAAATATTCAATTCATCCATCCATCCATTTTCTTCCGCTTATCCGAGTCCAGGTCGCGGGGACAGCAGCCCAAGCTGAGAAGCCCAGACCTCGCTCTCCCCAGCCACCTCCTCCAGCTTGTTCGGAGGAGCACCAAGGCGTTCCCAGGCCAGCCGAGAGA